CTGGAGCCCGAACAGTCACCCACCCGGAGCCCGACCAGTCAAACACCCGGAGCCCGCCAGTTTAGTGAACCGGAGCCCGCCAGTTGAGTGAACCGGAGCCCGCCAGTTGAGTGAACTGGAACCCGTCAGTTGAGTACCTGGAGCCCGCCCCGAGCCCTACCGAGAACCCACCCTGAGCCCGACCAAGAACCTACCCCGAGCCCTACAGAGGTTCCCCAAGCCCGAGAGCCTATCCCGATCCCGAAAGAGCCCACCCCGAGCCCTACCGAGAACCCACCCCCCAAGCCCTACCGAGAACCCACCCCCCAAGCCCTACCGAGAACCCACCCCCCAAGCCCTACCGAGAACCCACCCCCAAGCCCTACCGAGAACCCACCCCCCAAGCCCTACCAAGAACCCAGCCCCAAGCCCTACCAAGAACCCAGCCCCAATACCTACCAAGAACCCACCCCAAGAACCCACCCGAAGCCCTGGACAGACACCCACCCGGAGCCCGAACAGTCACCCACCCGGAGCCCGACCAGTCAAACACCCGGAGCCCGCCAGTTTAGTAAACCGGAGCCCGCCAGTTGAGTGAACCGGAGCCCGCCAGTTGAGTGAACTGGAACCCGTCAGTTGAGTACCTGGAGCCCGCCCCGAGCCCTACCGAGAACCCACCTTGAGCCCGACCAAGAACCTACCCCGAGCCCTACAGAGGTTCCCCAAGCCCGAGAGCCTATTCCGATCCCGAAAGAGCCCACCCCGACCCCTACCGAGAAACCCCCCCCAATCCCTACCGAGAACCCACCAAGAACCCCCCCCAAGCCCTACCGAGAACCCACCCCCCCAAGCCCTACCGAGAACCCACTCCCCCAAGCCCTACCGAGAACCCACCCCCCCAAGCCCTACCGAGAACCCTACCGAGAACCCACCCCCAAGCCCTACCGAGAACCCACCCCCAAGCCCTACCAAGAACCCACCCCCAAGCCCTACCGAGAACCCAGCCCCAATACCTACCAACAACCCACCCCAAGCCCTACCAAGAACCCACCCGAAGCCGGACAGACACCCACCTGGAGCCCGAACAGTCACCCACCCGGAGCCCGACCAGTCAAACACCCGGAGCCCGCCAGTTTAGTAAACCGGAGCCCGCCAGTTGAGTGAACCGGAGCCCGCCAGTTGAGTGAACTGGAACCCGTCAGTTGAGTACCTGGAGCCCGCCCCGAGCCCTACCGAGAACCCACCCTGAGCCCGACCAAGAACCTACCCCGAGCCCTACAGAGGTTCCCCAAGCCCGAGAGCCTATCCCGATCCCGAAAGAGCCCACCCCGAGCCCTACCGAGAACCCACCCCCCAAGCCCTACCGAGAACCCAGCCCCAAGCCCTACCGAGAACCCACCCCCCAAGCCCTACCGAGAACCCACCCCCCAAGCCCTACCGAGAACCCAGCCCCAAGCCCTACCGAGAACCCAGCCCCAAGCCCTACCGAGAACCCAGCCCCAAGCCCTACCGAGAACCCAGCCCCAAGCCCTACCGAGAACCCACCCCCAAGCCCTACCGAGAACCCACCCGAAGCCGGACAGACACCCACCTGGAGCCCGAACAGTCACCCACCCGGAGCCCGACCAGTCAAACACCCGGAGCCCGCCAGTTTAGTAAACCGGAGCCCGCCAGTTGAGTGAACCGGAGCCCGCCAGTTGTGTGAACTGGAACCCGTCAGTTGAGTACCTGGAGCCCGCCCCGAGCCCGACCGAGAACCCACCCAGAGCCCTACCGAGAACCCACCCTGATCCCTACAGAGAACCCACCCCTAGTCCTACCATGAAAACACCCTGAGCCCTACAGAGAACCCACCCTGGGCCCGACCAAGAACCTACCCCGAGCCCTACAGAGGTACCCCAAGCCCGAGAGCCCATCCCGAACCCGAAAGAGCCCACCCTGAGCCTGACCGGGAGCCAACCCTAAGTCCTACCAAGAACCCACCCCGAAGCCCTACCAAGAACATACCCGAAGCCGGACAGACACCCACCTGGAGCCCGAACAGTCACCCACCCGGAGCCCGACCAGTCAAACACCCGGAGCCCGCCAGTTTAATAAACCGGAGCCCGCCAGTTGAGTGAACCGGAGCCCGCCAGTTGAGTGAACTGGAACCCGTCAGTTGAGTACCTGGAGCCCGCCCCGAGCCCTACTGAGAACCCACCCCGAGCCCTACCAAGAACCTACCCCGAGCCCTACAGAGGTTCCCCAAGCCCGAGAGAGATCCCGAAAGAGCCCACCCCGAGCCCTACCGAGAACCCACCCCCCCCCGAGCCCTACCGAGAACCCACACCCCCCCGAGCCCTACCAAGAACCCACACCCCCCCGAGCCCTACCAAGAACCCACACCCCCCCGAGCCCTACCAAGAACCCACACCCCCCCGAGCCCTACCGAGAACCCACACCCCCCCCGAGCCCTACCAAGAACCCACACCCCCCCGAGCCCTACCAAGAACCCACACCCCCCCGAGCCCTACCAAGAACCCACACCCCCCCGAGCCCTACCAAGAACCCACACCCCCCCGAGCCCTACCAAATACCCACACACCCCCCCCCCGAGCCCTACCAAGAACCCACACCCCCCCGAGCCCTACCAAGAACCCACACCCCCCCGAGCCCTACCAAGAACCCACACCCCCCCAAGCCCTACCAAGAACCCACACCCCCCCAAGCCCTACCAAGAACCCACACCCCCCCAAGCCCTACCAAGAACCCACACCCCCCCAAGCCCTACCAAGAACCCACACCCCCCCAAGCCCTACCAAGAACCCACACCCCCCCAAGCCCTACCAAGAACCCACCCCCCCCCAAGCCCTACCCCCCCAAGCCCTACCAAGAACCCACACCCCCCCAAGCCCTACCAAGAACCCCCCCAAGCCCACCCCCCCCCCCAAGCCCTACCAAGAACCCACACAGACCCCCCAAGCCCTACCAAGAGCCCGCCCACTAAAGCCCCCCAAGCCCTACCAAGAACCCACCCGAAGCCGGACAGACACCCACTTGGAGCCCGAACAATCACCCACCCAGAGCCCGCCAGTTGAGTACCTAAAGCCTGCCCGGAGCCCCGACCGACAACCCACCCCGGAGCCCCGACCGACAACCCACCCCGGAGCCCCGACCGACAACCCACCCCGGAGCCCCGACCGACAACCCACCCCGGAGCCCCGACCGACAACCCACCCCGGAGCCCCGACCGACAACCCACCCCGGAGCCCCGACCGACAACCCACCCGGAGCCCCGACCGACAACCCACCTTGGGACAACCCACCCCGACCGACAACCCACCCGGAGCCCCCCGACAGAGAACCCACCTTGGAGCCCGACAGAGAACCCACTTGGGGCCCGACAGAGAACCCACTTGGGGCCCGACAGAGAACCCACTTGGAGCCCGACAGAGAACCCACTTGGAGCCCGACAGAGAACCCACTTGGGGCCCGACAGAGAACCCACTTGGAGCCCGACAGAGAACCCACTTGGAGCCCGACAGAGAACCCACTTGGAGCCCGACAGAGAACCCACTTGGAGCCCGACAGAGAACCCACTTGGAGCCCGACAGAGAACCCACTTGGAGCCCGACAGAGAACCCACTTGGAGCCCGACAGAGAACCCACTTGGAGCCCGACAGAGAACCCACTTGGAGCCCGACAGAGAACCCACTTGGAGCCCGACAGAGAACCCACTTGGAGGCCGACAGAGAACCCACCCCGCGCCCAACCTTTCATGGAGAAAATTGAACACCAGGCGACAAAAATAATTGCAGAATGAGGTCTAGTTTCATACCATGAACGGTTGAGGGTCACAGGGCTAACAACACTGCAAACTAGGCATGCCAGGATGGATCTCACCGAAACTATTAAAATATCGACTTGAATCGACTTGAGAATGGTCCAGGACGGACCGAAACTCGTCGTCCCTTCAACTTCTAGTGTGTGGTCTGGTCAACATACTTCAGCCACGTTATTGTGACTCATCGCCTGCCTATTAAAATATTGAACAGTTTCGAAGATATGGATCCAGAGAACAACTTCAAAAGGTCAGATGGAACACAAACAAGGAACAACGGTTTCAAGTCCAACAAGCCGCAGTGTAGGACTGAAAACATAAGCTATATTTTCACCCACAGGGTTATAAACCCATGGAACCGCCTATCTGCTAAAGCAGTAAATAACATAACACTTGAATTGTAAAATCCAATTTGAAAAAAAATCGGAACAAATGGGGGACCTGATCTGCTACCAGAAATTTTAGCCAAATATCCCCAGTCTGCTAACTGTAGGTAGTAACCGAGTGATTGTAACCTATCCACCGCTGCCCACTGGATGGGGGGCGGTGTGCAGGACAAACATAAATTGTGACACTAGCTCTCCACATATGTCAGGTGCTTAATTTAGAACCTGTACTTGAGGTCGATCTCGAACCCATTGTTGATGTGACGACTTATATTGAATTTTGTAACTAGCTCATCAAGATTGTAACTTGCTTAGCTAAATGAATTGTGGGGTTCAGTCCCTGAGCCCATTATGTGCCTCTGTAACCCTTTCCACTACCGCCCAGCAGAGGTACAACAGGTACTCAGAGAGAACTATCAACATCAGAGGCCCGAGACTGTTCAACACGCTTCCACTACACATAAGGGGCATAACTGGCCGACCCCTCACAGTGTTCAAGAGAGAACTGGATAAGCACCTCCAAAGGATACCTGATCAACCAGGCTGTGACGCATACGTCAGGCTGCGAGCAGCCGCGTCCAACAGCCTGGTTGATCAGTCCAGCAACCAGGAGGCCTGGTCGACGACCGGGCCGCGGGGACACTAAGCCCCGGATGCACCTCAAGGTAGCCCACAAGATGGGTATGGGGTGCATAATAAACGAACTAAACTAACATTGATAGGCATTGTTCGAAGCAAACTCCATTATATTATATAATTCTATATACTGTGTATATATAAGATATAAATATGTCAAAAAGAATTATCACTCTTACCTGGAGCAATGTTGCTGATGACGGAAATCAGCGGTACATGTTGTCGCGTTGGCGGCACCGACGTTACTGAGCAGCTGAGCCTTCAACGACGAACCGCCGTTTGAACGCCATTTTGAAATTCCAGGCGTACTACCCGAAAAGTGCGTAAACTAGTATTTGCGTGCATTATAGGCCATTCCAAGAAACCTTATTGCTATGAATATCTTGTTATCTAACAAACGAATTATTTATGTTAATATTTTTAGCACATATGTTAAATTAGGCCATTTTTCATTTAGAGGGGGTATATATATATATATATAGCTATTTACATTTTAAGTTTGAAAAATTACCGTACAAAATTGAATGCAAAGATAAGATAAGATTTGTAACGGTCTTTGATTTGTCACTAGCTGCTGGGTGAACAGTTAAGGATTGTCGCCTGGTCAATCCTTCCCGACCAGGATACGAACCCAGGTCAAAGTGCTAACGAAGAGCCGGGCGCGTGCTTTACCACTACGCCACAGAAACTGCTCCGTGGCGTAGTGGAATTTTGAATTTTGAAACCTGACTAACATAGCTCAACCCAACCTAACGTAACCCAAATCAAACCAATCTAATTCAACCGAGACCAATGCAGCCTAACCTTAATAACATAGCCTACTACAGCCTAGCATAACAATACATCCGGATTTAAAACAGAAAATGAGTTTAGTCAAGGTAACCTCAAGGTAGCCGAATCGTCTCGTGTCCGAGTGTAACCAGAACCCGTCGACCAGTTGTGTATCTACTGACCTAACAAACAAACACCTGCAGACGAGGACCCCTTAATTCTCCCTCATTAAACTTTAACCTTTTCCTCTGAAGGCAGGCATGCTTTTTATCTAGTTTAAACCTCGGACGCAGGTTCGAATCCTCGTCAGTCCTTGTGGATTTGTTCAAGAGTTTCCTTAACCCTGATGCCCCTGTTACCTAGCAGTAAATAGGTACCTGAGAGTTAGACAGCTGAAACGGGCTGCTTCCTGGGGATGTGTACTCACCTATTTATGCTTGCGGGGGTTGAGCTCTGGCTCTTTGGTCAGTGTGTGTGTGTGTGTGTGCTCACCTATTTGTGCTTGCGGGGGTTGAGCTTTGCCTCTTTGGTCCCGCCTCTCAACTGTCAATCAACTGGTTTACAGATTCCTGAGCCTACTGGGCTCTATCATATCTACATTTAAAACTGTGTATGGAGTCAACCTCCACCACATCGCTGCCTAATGCATTCCACCTGTTAACTACTCTGACACTGAAAAAGTTCTTTCTAACGTTCCTGTGGCTCATTTGGGTACTCAGTTTCCACCTGTGTCCCCCTTGTTCACGTACCACTAGTGTTGAATAGTTTATCCATTATCTACCCTGTCAATTCCCGTGAGGATTTTGTAGGTAGTGATCATGTCTCCCCTCACTCTTCTGTCTTCCAGTGTCGTAAGGCGCATTTCCTGCAGCCTTTCCTCGTAACTCATGCCTCTTAGTTCTGGGACTAGTCTAGTGGCATACCTCTGAACTTTTTCCAGCTTCGTGTGTGTGTGTGTAGGGGAAAAAAATAGTACTTTTTTTTTTTACTGATATATACAAGAGTTATTACATTCTTGTACAGCCACTAGTGCGCGTAGCGTTTCGGGCAAGTCCTTGCAAGCCTATTGTCCCCGGAATACAATCCCCGCAAAGAATCGTTTTTACAACCAGGTACCCATTTTGCTGTTGGGTTAAACAGAGGCTACAGTTAAGGATTTGCACCCAGTAAATCCTTCCCGGCCGGGATACGAACCCAGGACAAAGAGCTCACGGAACGCCAGGCAAGCGTCTTACCACTACGCTAACTATGAGTTAGTAACAGTTGATTGATTGGCAATTAAGAGGCAGGCTGAAAGAGCAGAGCTCAATCCCCGCAAGCACAACTTGGTGAATACGTCCGGCTTCCAGTTCCCGTCGAGGCCTCTAAATTTAGAGTGTGGCCCTCAGGTAAACCCAAGTAAATTCAGGTAAATATGACATGTGGGTAATCAAGCAGCAACATTAAAAGATAAAGTTAAATTAAAACGCAACATGTACAAAAAAAAGTTAAGAGGTTGGAGGTATAAAGAGCTAAACCTCACTATAACCACTATTAGGAAAGTCGCCAGGTACCTATCAAAAAAAATAATAGTACCCTACCATATATGAACGAAGCTGAAACAGCTAAAAACGAAAAAAATAATATTAATTTTGTATTGTTATCACATATCTTCACATATATATATATATTTATATTTACAGGAAGACAATTAAACACATAACGTACTTATTTAGAGTATTATTATTATTATTATTTGTATATATTGTGCTATACGGACGAGTGACAGCCTCCGTTTATTTCCGTCGTCTGCTGGTGGCGGCGCTCCTCCCTGCCACATCTCGCCAATTGCTTAACCAAACCTTCCTCAAGTCCCCCTAACTCTTAACACAACCCCCCAGCGGACACTAGAGGCCACGATGACAACCTCAGACGACGATTCCCACACGGGATTAGGATGTAAATAAAGTTAGAATAAAGAGATTGAGTAGGAGAGAGGAAGAAGAGGTGACATTGATCCCCCCCCCCCATCACACCCCCCACACAGGGAGGTGGTTGGAGTGCCAGGCACCCTCACCACACACAGAGAGGCACTCGGCGGTGCCTGCCTTGTGTACACCTTTCTCTCACCTCGGGCAGTCCGCCTCTCTCTCTCTCACCTCCCCGTGGGTGTCCAGTGCTCTAGTGTGCCGCTTCACCAGACGTGAGGAGCCATCACCATGGATCCCGAAGCCTTCCTGGAGATGGCCAACCAGGTCACCAAACTCAAGATGTATCCTTACTTCGATATCGCTCACTGCACCCTCTGCTGCCTCTACGTCAGGGAGGACCTTGGCACCGGTGAGGGAGCCCAGCCTGTACCATGGGGGAGAAAACTTTGGCATTAGCCATGAGCCCCTCAGTAACCTTCTGTTACCTGAGTTTACCTAAGAGCCATTTAATTCTAGTGGCCTCGACGAGGATAGGAATCCGGCGGGTTGTCGAAGGTCCCTCGCTTCATTTGCCTTGATGATCTTTGTCCAACTGTACTTTAAAAGTTAACAGAGTTTGGACATTTTATATTAATATTATAACCAGTACCTGGCCTCAGACCTGACCTTCCCAACATAGCATAGTTACACACTATTCTTGGACCGTACTGTACACTTTCTTTTTTTCTATTTATATCTGTTTACAATGCTTTGTTCATGATTCTCTCCTAATAATTCTCTTAATGTTCAACACTAACTGTGCAATTGATATCTTATCATAACATCTTTGGACATTATTGTTATCCTTCCTGCAGATAAGAGATAATTTTTTATTTCTTATTTTTTATTTATTTATATATACAAGAGTTCTTACATTCTTGTATAACCACTAGCATGCATAGCATTTTGGGCAAAGTTGTCAATCCTAATTTTCCCTGGAATACGACCCGCCAAATCATTTAACAACCAGGTACCCATCTTACTATTGGGTAAACAGAGGCTACAGTTAAAGATTGATGCCCAGTAAATCCTTCCCGGCCAGGATACGAAACCAGGACAAAGCGTTCGCAAAATGCCAGGCTTACCACTACGCCACGGGAACCGCTTAACACTTTTTTGTTAATCCAGTGCCTCGCCCACATTTTGTTCAGCCATCATCTAATCTTATTTGCGACCCACCCCCATCTGAGTTAACTGGGCATCCGAATTAGCCAAATTTTTACCCAGGAAATCCCAAAATGAACATTCAGAATTTTTTGTACCACAACCAGCATACATTTAATTTGTTGCTAAGACAATGGCACATTTCCTTTCACCTATTTCCTCTTCTTCTAGCAGTGAGTAGGTACTCAGGAGTCAGCTTGTTGTGGGCTTGCATCCTGGGCAGGGTCAGGAATTCGGCCTTGGGGGGGGGGGGGAACCTCGATAAAAGCCAACGTGTATGAATGCACTCTGGGTTCCTGTCCCCCCCTGTCACAATGAATCATCATAAATTCAAAGTATTATTACATGTAATTTATATTTCCATTTTATGCACTAAACATAAAATGACTTCGTTAGGGGAGAATCGTGATATTCAGTGTGTACGGTATGCAGATAATTAATTGACAATAACAAATTTCAACTTTGATGGAGTTCGTCAGCTTGCTTAATGAAGAGCTTCTTATGTTTGCGTTTCCTTATATCAGAGACGGTACTTGCAACAATACCAAAATCCTTTGTGATACAGCATAGTGGCCTTTTACACAGAGTTCAATCACATGTAGCATATTTTAAATAGATAGTGTAACTTGCTTCATCTTATCACCTCCATGTTAATTGCTGCTGCTACTAGACATTGTCTTAGCAACAAATTATCCAAGTTTCTATTAAAGCAAAATAGTTAGGGAAAGAAAATCTTTTGGTAATGGATCAGCACTATGTACAGTCACACAGTGGGAGAGAACAGGACTTGGCAGGTTGACTGGGTCAGGATGGGGTCCATTTGGGACACGATACATAGGCCTCCATGTGAACAAAAATCCCCCGTTTTAACTAGGAAATACACTTTACAGCCTGGTCATGCAATTTTTGACAATCATTTAATTATTTTTATAATATTAGATATTATAATTTTTTTTATTAATGCAGTCTTTTATTGTACTGTAATTCGTGCCATGAGCATAAGTCACCACATTTCGTTCAGTAACCCAAAGTACTATTCGATTTGAATAGTGAAGCACTCACATTGAAGTTTATTGAGGTTTCTTCTTCCGTATGTTCTGTTAACCCAAATCCCCATTCAGGTTAAGAGGCTCAAAAAAAAAAGTTGAAGTTTGAAGGTGAATTTATCCGGATTACTCGAAGATTCGGGTCACTAAAATCCAAATTACTGAGCTCTTACAGTAATGTCATCCTTTTCTCTAGGGTGTTTAATCATTGCATGCGTCTGTTCATTTGCTCATTCATAGGTTTAGTATTATAGTTCATCTGTTTTGACCATAAGAACTGTCTAAAGAACTGTAAAATATGATCAATTTGTATTTGGTGTAGGGCTTGTATACCTTAGAATTGTGTCTAAAATTGTAATCATAGTTCGGTGTGTATTTTACAACACTTTTGGGAATCTTGGGCAAATAGTAATAGTAAATCTTCTTATGAATTTAAAGGATATACGTTCTGTAATGAAAAAGTGCTCTAATTCTAGTTAGGGAAAAAATAAGTCATACATGCTCTAGAAAGCTTCTTTAGAGTTAGAAATTGTGAACCGGTATTACAAAATTGACTGTCTATGCAATATACAGTAGTTGACATTCAATATAATGAAAAAGACAAAGAATATATATAAATATATATAATGTATTGTAATGCAGAGTGAGAAAATTGGCAATTTCATAAATGAAGAACATAGGTGGTATTGTTAGGCTATAAAAAAATTCATTATTATGAATTATTATTATGAATCATTGCATGCGTCTGTTCATTTGCTCATTCATAGGTTTAGTATTATAGTGTATTATAGTGTATATTTTAGTGTAAAGAGTCATTAAACAATAATTGTTATTTAATGATTTGTTCAAGATTTGGGTTATGTCAGTGATTAATGTTGGATGAATAATTTAAATTTATTAATGGGGAATTATGAGTCAATCTAGGGGGGTGAGAGGGGGGGGGGCTGACAAATTAATGAACAAGAGGACAGATTTTAAGGAAAGGTGGGGAAGGGAATTATCACTTCCACTGGTCTCATATAATCAGGATATACAGTAAACCAGTATAATTAAAGGAAGCTATTTTGTTTCTGTATTAATTTTTTTTTCTTTTAAGTGAAAATATGTGCCACTTACTCTCTTCCTGTAGTAGGCAATCAAAAATGGCTAAGTGGATTATATGTGCATATCCTAGAGTTGAACTGTTCTGCTGGCAAGGCTAATAGGTTGCCTTGATGAGAATGTTGCTGCTAGAAGGCATCTGGTTGCTGTTGCTGCATTACCTTTCTAATTAACAAAGTGGTGGTGCATACATATTTATTTTCCGTGTCTTCTGCTGTGTGTGTACACCTGCCATGGTTGTGTGTGCCTGTGTGCATTCATCAGATCAGGAATGGTAGGAAAGTTACACAAATTAAAAGATAAATAAATCTTATGCTTGGGAAGGTGGTAGTGTTGCAGGTGATTCCACAAGAAGCTCTAGTGGCGAGGTGCCAGGAATTTTGGGATACTTGCACAATTACAGTCTAGTGCTCCTGTGGCTCACCTGTCTTCATAGTCAGCTGTGTGTATGACTGTAACTTACAGCTGTTTGCATAGCTTGAAATGTTTACCTGTCTTATTTCTTTTGTTTGGCAGAGAGGGGTGGGTGGAGGAGATTTCATATACAGTATTGTTTATTCAGTTTCTTTGTTAGTTTGTTTACTGTATTTTGGTATGTGTATTTTCTGAAGAAAATGCTACATAGCCTTCCTGGCTTGGTGCCTTCTTTGATAATTACTTACAGTACTTACTTTCTGAAGAAAAACTATGGAATATCTACATTAAAACAGTTTAAATTACTTGTCATCTTAATTTTGGAGGTCTTTCTAAATGAGCTCAGGCTTTCGGAGATATTTCTAAATGAGCTCAGGCTATCGGAGATCTTTCTAAATGAGCTCAGGCTTTCAGAGATATTTCTAAATGAGCTCAGGCTTTCAGAGATACTGTATTTCTAATTGAGCTCAGGCTATCGAAGATCTTTGTAAATGAGCTCAGGCTTTCGGAGATCTTTCTAAATGAGCTCAGGCTTTCGGAGATCTTTCTAAATGAGCTCAGGCTTTTCGAGATCATTCTAAATAAGCCCAAGCTTTGTACATGTGCAAAGTGTGAGATGGTTTCTTCATAAAAACCCAATAAACTTAAAAAATTAAAGACATTGCGTGTAAATAGTCATTGAGATCCTTGAAGTTTTTGATAAATAAAATAGTATCTATGAGTTGTATTCAAATTTAAAAGTACAGTAATTAAAAATATCTAATACAGTACAGTATTACAGAATTATTTCTCTCACTATCAATTAATTATTATATATGTACCTTTTAATAATATTTTTTGTAATAAATTGAAGCAGTTAATCACAATGAAAAGTAAAATTTGGTTTGCATATTGTTTACAAGTTTTGTTGTTGATTGGGCACATTTCCTTTCACCTGATGCACCTGTTCACCTATCGGTAAATAGGTACCCCGGGAGTTGGGCAACTGTTGTGGGTTGCATCCTGGTAAGGTCAGTAGTTCAGTTCAATCTAGGAAGACCTCAATACAGTCCTAAATACAGGCCTTTCTGTCTCCAACAACAGGATTTATTATAAAAGTTGTTTTTTTATCATCTCGGTACTTTTAAACGGTTTCATAGCTTGCAAAGTATAGCTGTTATTGAAGTTGATCAATGTGTAGTCTATGCAATACTAGTCATGTTCCATTCAGTACTGTATATTGAAATAGCTTTGTCATATTGCCATTGAAGCTGATCATTTTTGGACCAAATCATTGTACATTGCATATATGCAATACTGTACCTTCATTGTACACTGGCATATTGCTAGCCCATTGAAATTTAGTGTTATGTGGGTTTAGTAGTGTTAGATGTTGATGAAAATGTTATTACATAATTAGTTCAATTATTCATCACTGTGTCCTATTCATGAATTAATAAACAGTACTGTAATTACCTAAGCATTGTTACTGGATGATAGATATGCTTGTGGTGTCCTGTCTTTCCAGCATTCTTTGTCACATAACACTTTGAAACTACTGATGGTTTTGACCTCCACAACTTTCTCACTTGTTCCAGCTGTCTACCACTCTGTTTGCAAAAGAAAACTTTCTAATATTTTGTGGCACCTTTGTTTCCTTAGCGTGAATCTATGACCTCTTGTTCTTGAAGTTGCTGGTTTCATTAATTTCTCTGTCACTGTGGTCAATTCCCGTTATTATTTTGTAAGTGGTGGTCACGTCACCTCTTTGTCTTTTATCTTCTAGCTTGGCAATATTTAATGCCTCACGTCTCTTTTTCATAACTCTTATTTATCAGTTCAGGAAAGCATTTTGTAGCATGCCTTTGCACCTTTTCCAGTTTACTGATGTGCTTCTTGAGATATGGGCACCATACAACTGCTGCATATTCAAGTTTTGGTCTCACTTAAGTCATGAGCAGTTTCTTCAGTATGTCACCATACATGTAATTAAAAGCAATCTTAAATAGAGTATAGTTTGTGCTCCGCAGGACGTAATTCTTCTGTATGTGTGCGCACATTGGCAGCCACTGGGTGGCAAAAAAATATCATTTAACACTTTCGCTCACCCCGCGCGCCACCCCTCGACAGGGCGATATGGGCCCCAGCGTGTCACGGAAGCGCGCGTTAATTCCGAAAAGCGTATACTCTCTTCAACTTTGTCACCTCAATTCTCCTTCTACGAGATTAAATTTGGTATCATTGTGTTCGCAATAAAATTCTCTACAGCACTAAATGCATATAAACTCCAAAAGCCCGGCTAATTACCCACAGCAAACAGAGAAAGTGCGAACGAGTTACCCGGGAGCGCGCAAACGGGATAAAATGTTTTCACTATTTTCACTCTGGTCACCTCAATTTTTGTCCTAGGTCTTTCATTTTGGTCTCAATGGGTTCGTAATAAAATTCTCTAGAGGAACATTAGCATATAAAAAAAAAAACCTGGTCACGCTCCAACCGCCGACGAGTTGAAGACGGGCCACGCGTTAGCCGTGAGTGAGTGCTCAGAGGCCTTCCTGCTACACTCCCAATTCCCACCCTTTTCAAGCCTTTCTTTCGCAATTTTCTTCCTGGAAGGGCCTTGTTCATGATTACTATCCATCGTGGAGTAAGCGTAGATAGTTTCTAAAGCCGCAGTAAGAAATATAGCCACGGGAAATAGCCGAAATGTTCACACGTTTGAGATGCGAGGGGAGGCGACATTGGTCACAACAGTGGAGCAAAGACAATGGGCCCACGGCGTGTGCCAAGCCGCCTGAGGGCCACGAGGCTCAACAAAGAAAATGGGAAGACATCGGCGCACATTTTAAAACCAGTCCCAAAAAAATCGGATAAAAACCTGATTTTTGGCAAATTTTTAAAGTGGATGACGCAATGCTGCGTCATCCCCGGCATTACCGCCAGTAAACGGATGACGCAATACTGCGTCATCCCCGAGCGAAAGTGTTAAGAAACTAATATTTCAATAATAACTGACTATATGCAGCCCATTCTCTTGATTTGCTACAATGTAGAAAATATAAAGTCTTAACCTAACCAAAAATTTAAGAACCTAAGCAACCCATCTAATCTTACCCTATCACTGCATAGAAAACGTGGATATTTGTGAGCAGCTACATTTCATTGTACAGTACCATGTAATTTCTACGTTGGGGAAGGGGGACCATAATGTACAAAATGAGACGTTCGGTACTAGTTGAGAGGATGGGTTGTTCTATGAAGAGTGATTGCTGCAAATATTAAACAGACTCGCAGTATAGTCGGTGATTATATAGCTTTGATCGATGGCACTAGCCAATAACAACAGACGATGTGAGGCACATGCCAACAGCCAGTCTCGATGCGAGTTGGCCAGTTGCGTAAATGGTTTGAGGACCATAACTGTTCTCATTTTTTAGGATAAGAGGAAAAAATTTCTTTGTTGAAACTCATTTTAGCACCCAGATGAGGATGAGGTTAAAACTGAGGAAAATGAGGAGGAGGAAGAGGGAGAAGGGGTCACCTTTCTTCTCGTAATGTTAATCATCCCTCATTTTCCTCAGTTTTCAGCCTCACTACCACCTGGGCCCCTTGCCATTTTTCTGCCTTTCTCTTCCTCACTTCTATCTCACTCGCCTCTTTCATGCCCCCTCATCCCTTCCTCTTCTATCTCCTCTTCCAGCACTTAGCATGAATGTGTCAGTACCATGTTTTAAGTTTGAACACCCGTGGATTATATTGTTTCTTATCTGCTCTGTTCTTTTTTCATCTAAGCTGGGAGTAATACACAATGCTATTTAATTATTATGAAATTTGCACATAGCTATACTGTATGTATTTTCTGTTGAATTTGTTGGTAAAAATGTTGGAATATTTTTTAGTAGAATCATAACCGAATACCTAGTGTAAAATGCTTATCAGCCGTAAGCAAAGTGTATGTAGTTTTCTGAAATATCGTATTTTGCAGTAGGGAGTAAGAGGTTTTGTAGGTCATCTTTGTGTAGCAGGGAAATGGAGAGAGAAGGTCTCAGAGATATATATAGAATTGTTTGTCTTGGTATTTTTCTCCAGGTTGCCTTTTTTATTACGCTGTCTTGGCTTTAGATAAGTGCACTTTCAAAAGGTGTCCATTTTATTGTTCATATTGTGCTGGTACAGTACAGTATGGTACAGCTCTGTTTTCAGCATCATAGTTTTTGTTTATAATTGATTTGTTTTAAACATAACCTGATATGAAAAGTGAGACAGTCTGACATGTGAGGAGTGTTGTCTATTGTAGGAAAGGTGGGAGATGTGGTGTATAGTTGTGAGGGAGAAGGTTTGGCGAGTATCGCAGCATTTTGGTGAGCAAGTGTGTCTCCTCACCTCCTCGGCTATATTTACCCCTCACACGAGACACACTGGGTGCCACCTTGTCAAGTTTCAGTTCTCACCTCTGTAAATATTTAATTAATATTAATATATACATTTCTAATTCCTGGATATGTTTGAAACTGCACATTCAAATGCTTGTAAAAATACTGTTTATAGTAATATTAATTTAAAGGCTTTCAGTTTTTGAATTTTGCCAATTTTTTACATGGATTTCAGGAAATGCCAAATACCCAGTATTTATTTTGCAAGGAAAGTTATTATTAAAAATGTTTTTAAATCCCAAGATCAATGTATGATAATTGTTTATAAAAGTTCATATGGTATTGTTATTGTACAGGCATAGGCTACCCCTATTTAGTATAAGGGCTGCATTCCTGGAAATGAGTGCATTAACTGTTGACATTCAGATTTGGTAAACTATAAGTTGTATCAATAGCATATCCTCCATAGCATTGCATGCTCAGCATTTTGTCACTAATGACCAACATATTAGTAGCCCATTGGGTGAACCCGGGAGCAATAATGTAAAAGTAAACATGATTATATAAATACATTGTGTATTTTGTGACATAAATAATAATTAAAAACAAAAACCCATTAAGTACATAAGGTTAAATAGTACGGAGATGAGTGCGTGGCACTACCCTGAACATGGAGAACTTGGCAGAGTTGGGAGACAAGGTGGGAGTTAATGGTGGCAGGATTAGCCAGGTTGTGGCACATGCTCCTCGAAGAAGGCATAACGTCAGTTACATTACCTGAAGTCTTCTCTCGCTGAACATCTTTTTGTAGCTGGTCATGTCGAGGACGATTCTCATCATTGCAGTGTTGTAGAACACTGCCTATTTTCAGAGATTAAAGCCGAGCCATTTATTATGATTTTGTTGCCCTCAGTTAAAATTTGTTTCAATTTATTTTTTTATTTTTAGCTACACCATCAATAGAATCATCATTGCCATCATTAGAATGCAGCTGTTCCAGCTCTTATCAGTTCTTAGTTGGGAAGACTGGTCTGTCAAAGAGTGAAGTAGCTCCTGCACAACATCACTATCAACCTTGTCCATACCTAGATGGTTAGCAAGCTTAAACAATGTCATGATGAGCCATCACTGTTTTGTCTTCAAATACCCTGACGTGACACTGGCTTTGGCTATAGTTTCACTTAGTTACTGCTCATATACTTGGAAGGCACTTCCTCCTGGGCTGCACTGATGTTCCTTATATGCAGTATATATATATTTGTGAACTCACCTAGTTATACTTGCCTAGTTTTGCCAGCAGGGGTTTGGTCCTGCCTCTTGACTGTCAATCAACTGTGTAAAGATTCTGGAGCCTATTGGGGTCTATCAGATCTACATTTGAAACTGTATATGAAGTCTGCCTCCACCACATCACTGCCTAATGAATGAATGAATGTGTGTGAAATTACCTAATTGTAGTTACATGATAAGAGCTAAACTCGTGGTGTCCTGTCTTCCCAACATTGTTTGTCGTATAACACTTTGAAACTACTGACGGTTTTGGCCTCCACCACCACCTCACTTAGCCTGTTCTAACCGTCTACCGCTGTGTTTGCAAAAGAAAATTTCTAATGTTTTTTCGGTACTTCTGTTTCCTTAGCTTGAAACCATGTCCTCTTGATCGTGATGTTGCTTGTTTCAGCCTTCTTGTCAATTTGGTTGATTCCTGTTAAAATTTTGTATGTGGTGATCATATTGCCTCTTTTTCTTTTATCTTCTAGTTCAGGTATGTTTAATGTCTGTAGTTTCTCCTCGTAACTCTTGTTTTTTAATTCCGTAAGCCATTTTGTAGCATGCCGCTGCACCTTTTCCAGTTTCTTTATGTGTCTCTTGAGATTTGGGCACCATACAACTGCTTCATATTCCAGTTTTGGTCTCACAAAGGTCATGAACAGTTTCTTCAGTATTTCACCATCCATATACGTAATTAAAAGCAAATTAAAAGCACACACACACACAAAAGTGTGTGTGTGTGTGTATATATGTATATATATAAAATTATCAGATTTAATATTTTAAGTGTTATTTAATATACCATAGTGTACCACACATTCCAATATTCTGTGTGGCTGTTACGTGAAGGGTAAACAAACTTGATATAGCCAGAGCTAAGGTATGGGGAAACCTTGTCAAGGACACAAGTATTAGTTCCCAGGAATAATGAATACAAAAACCAGTTTACTCTTAATTGGCTATTTTTCAGGTTCTCTTCCTTTCTCCCGCAAACACCCCCTGGCAAACTGGCTGTCCTGCATGATCACCATCTTCGCGGGCGGCCTACTGGCAAACTTCTTGCTCGGGGAACCTATCCTCGGTGCTCTGAAGAACAACCAGCAACTCCTCCTGGCCACAGCTGTTTGGTGAGTAGATAATCTGCAGAGGAAGAGAAATGAAAATAGGACCGAAGGCTGAACTTCTTTTGGAGATTTTTTGTCACACAACTTACAAGTTATTGTTAATCATATAATGGAAAGGGCCAGGAAAAGAATTTTGGTGTTTCATAGACCTTTAATGCAAGATCTTGGAAAAGAACTTAATGACAAAGGCTGTGCAGTTGAAATAATGAATCAGGAATCGGAAACATTTCTAAATTAAACCAGGCCTTAAATGGAGAGGAATCATGGCCTTAAATGAAAAAGTGGCTTAAAGGGTAGTCTGTATTTTACCAGTAACAAGGCCAATTATATTTTTCCTGATATAAATTTATTTAGTGGGGGGATTGCAATACTGTTTACTCAGATTAATCACTGATTAATTGAAGCTTCAACATTCAAGCAAGCTTGGTATCTCGCCTATTTAACCCCTGTTTAAACTGATAACCCTAGGTGTGCAAGAATAAAAGGAACTCCATTATTAAACCAACTTGAAAATGGTCTAGGACAGACTGGAACGTTGTCACTACCTTTATTTCAGATGTGTGGGTTAGGTGTCTTAAGTTTCAGCCATGTTATTGTGACTGTCTGCGTTTAGCGTGATTGGCTGCTTGCCTTGTATTGGCAAGCAGCCACTGCTATCACTTTTAGTAATTGTAATTGCACAAAGTCCAAAATCTTGCAAATATGCTTGTTCAAATCTGACTTAAAAGTTCAGAAAATAATGGGGCTATCTCTGTGGCACAATTAACCTTGCACTCCCAGGATTATAGTTGATGGAGATGGGGGGGGATTGGGTTAGAAACCCATTTTCCAAAATTTCTTTTGACTATAGGGAAAAATTACCTCAGATCTTGGCTCCACATATGTTCAGACCCAAGAAGGCAAAGACAGAATTATATGGTTGTATGGAATGTGAGAGGAATATATCAAGAATAAAAGCAGTTGGAAGTGGTGAAAGTTTTTAACCTTGTCTGTGACACCAAGTTTGCAGCTTTACCCCAACAGAGGGTTGATAAGCAATAAAACAATATTTTGAGAATCAAGTTTGTATTACATGTCTAGTAAGTGGAAAATAATTTGTTTTCAGCTATGCTCTCAACATATAAATGATAATGCTGAAAAAAATAGCATGCATTATTACTAATACATATTTTAAACACAAGGATATACAGTACATAAATATAAATAGTACTGGATAAATTATGAAATTGCACAAAGGAATATAATTGTTCATGCTGAGAGAGGTAATCTTGTGTGATACGAGAACAGAGAGGAATACAGTATCTGGAGGTGTGTCGGATCAACTGTTGGTATTGTGTTAGATAAGATTAAGTGATGAAAGGGTGAGAGTACCTGTCAAGGCTCCAAGAATACGGGGAAACATAATTAAAATGCTGCAAACAAATGGATGAAAAGGTTAAACAAAGGGAATTTTAATAGTTAAATATACAATATTAACACCAAATAAAATGCATAATAGTGGATATGAATTTAAGAAAGCTTAGATTCAGAAGCAACATCAGTGAATTCTGGAAGCAGAGTTTTTGCATTGACTCTCGTGCAGCATTTTGCTTTAATGTTCAATCAAACTTGTGAATACAGTACGTAAGAACTTGGATATCTTAATTTTTTGAGCTCTGAAGTTCGTCATAATTAAGAGTTGCGCTTAATAGATGAAGGTTTATAAGCACTTGGATTTTCATAGTTCATTGTTAAAACAGAATTTATTCCTACAGGTATGTCATTTTTTACTCTCCCTTTGATGTGGGCTACAAAATTGCCAAGTTTCTCCCAGTTAAGGTTCTGCTATCTGCCATGAAGGAGGTGTATAGGTTAGTATATGAGTGTATGTGAATGTGTGTGTGTGTGTGTGTGTATGCATGCAACTTAATGCACACCTGCATGTGTGAGTACTCTCCATGTAGGGGTGCTCACATGTGCAGAAGTGGGACCCAAAAAACTTGAGCTCTCAGGTTTTACATCTCGGCATTCAGTTAACTTGTGTATACATTCCTAATCTTATTGGTTTCTCCAAAATCTGCATTTGAAATTGTTAGAGAACTTTTTTTTACAGTTTATCCAGGTCGTATTGTAGTTAATTTGCTATTTCCCTCCAAATTAATACTCCTCATAATTTTTTTGCATCATCAGCAAACATCGAGAGGAATACCTGTACTGTACGTCTTTCCCACTGGAAGATGATTTACATTTAAGCTCTGTCAAGTCACTTGTATTGTCATTATTCTGTTTCCACCTAAGTGATTACAATGTTTTCCCTTGCAGAGTAAAGAAGATCAATGATGGCGTGGCCCATGCAGCAAAGGTGTTCCCTAATGGTTACCTCAGTATGATACTCATTGGCACCCTCAAGGGTATGTATTTGTAATGTTATAAATATTCATAAGTTATTTGTGGTAATTCCCATTTACTAGATTTTTTATGGTTTAATTTTTTCTATAATCATAGTAACAGTATGATATGTTCTTATGTAACTTTGTATTGTATTAATTTATTTATTTACTGCATTATGTACAATATATATTTTCTGGACTGGGTCTGAGTAGCTAGCTTCCTGATGCATTGACTCTGGTGCCACAGAGACGTGCACAAAACTTTCAGGTCTCTGGACTTGCACAGGCCAACTGAACACACAGACTAGAATCTGGTGTCTTCGTAGAGGTGAGGGGATCATGGGGATCCGACAGCAAACTGAAATTGTGCAAAAGTGCAAGGACAATGCAGGCTTAAAAAGAAATAATAATACTCGTCTCGAATAAAGACAGAGAAGGGAAACAAGAGAAGTGGTAGTTTTCCCAATGTCAACAAACCATGCCTGCATATCCCCAAGTACACCATCAGGAAGGCAACTTGGGTCTCTTGTGTGCTTGGTATAAAGCACATTACTGTACTATGCTGTGGAGTTAGCGTTCCTTTGGACTTCATTGTCCCACAAGAGTTGGGAAAGGTATGCTTAGTACTTTTTTCCTTGCATGTCTTCAACTAATTAATTTGCCCTAATTTTGTTTCAGGGTTGCCTTCTCCAGTGTCAGGTTAGGTTTTTATTTCCCTTACTAGAGTTAACTTCTCTGAGAGGTTTGGGTATCCTCCTTCCTGGGGCTTTTCCTCTCGAGTTACCCAGGTGCCCAGGTAGTGCTTGGGACGTAGTCTTCATGCCAGACCTGTTCCCAAGAGTTGATTAAGTTCACTGTGTACTTACTATAAAAAATTCAATATAAAAAAAAAGTCTTGAGAATGTTCATGCTAGGTTATGCTTTATTTATATGTGCATGTTAAACATTTATGGGATTCCATTTGGGGTGATGAATAAGGATTCGCTCAGTTTAATCCTAACTCCACATGCCTTTCCTTGTCTGCAGTTTAGAGGATTTGTTGTGTAGCAGTTGGCTTCATTTTCTTTGCATCTGTCACGTCCAGACGTAAATTAACAGATCATTCAGCCAATTTCCATTTAAACTGGGTGGCTTGGGTGACTCCCATTCCCATCCATGATTCTACCTATGCTGCTTGCAGATTTCTGGGATGCAAGTAAGTGTTTTTGGACTAACAGATATTCATGTTGCTGGAATCGGGGAATTTTTGATCTACAGGTGAACAATATTTGTTTGTCACTAGGTATCTATGTTGCTGCCTGTCTGTTGGAAACTTATTAAGCTGCTATTGCCCTCTGAGGATGCACAGCACTGGCTAGATCACCAAATCAGCTGAAGACTGAGATCTTCACTGGCGGTCAAGCTGAGCCTGAGCTCGAAGTTTGGGCTGCCTCCACAAACAGTTTGTGGAGGGAAACAGGGTTGCTCAAACAGGGCTCAACATGGGCTCAAACAGGGTTGCAACCTAAACACAACACACCACACACAACTGAGGATGAAAAGGACCTTGAACCCAATGGGGGAATGTTTGAGGTATAAAAGATGGCCTTCATGGTTATAAAAGACCTCTTGGCAGTCTTCCAAACTGCATAGAACAGTGTTGGCCCAGTCCCAAAATTGTTGTGCCACTGTCAGCAAAACTGGGTTTATAAAGCTACTCTCTCCTCATAGTTCCTGCTTGCTCAGTAAATGTGTATTTCACCTAGTTGTGCCTGCGGGGGTTGAGCTCTGCTCTTTCAGCCTGCCTCTTTTTTTGCATGTGTGTTTCTTTCTGTGTGTGTGTGTGTGTGTGTGTGTGTGTGTGTGTGTGTGTGTGTGTGTGTGTGTGTGTGTGTGTGTGTGTGTGTGTGTGTGTGTGTGTGTGTGTAGGGGAAAGAAGGGTATAGGTGAGTGGAGGATCTGTGTGGGGAGTGTGGGTATGCCAGAGAGAGTGTTGGGGTGGCATGTAAGGGCGAGTATGGGGTGGTGGCATGTAAGGGTGAGTATGGGGATGGCATGCAAGGGCGAGTATGGGTGGTGGCATGTAAGGGCGAGTATGGGAGGGGGTGGCGTGTAAGGTGTAATTTATTGAGCTGTACATGTATAGCATACAAATTGTATTACAATTCTCTAACTAGGTATGCCTTTAATCCTGTGTGGTCAGCATTACAAAAATGATCCCACGGGTTTGTTTTCTTGGTCACTCCTGACCTCTCTCGTTGTGCTCTGTTACCGTATTTCTCATTCTCATTTCTCATTCACCAAGTGAACCGTATTTCTCAGTTCTGAATTATCATTAAGTCGGTCGGTGACAGATCAAAATGTTGTTATTTTTAATGTACAGCATTTGGATTTAGTGTTCATGCACAAGAATTGTTTTGAGGGATCAGTAAGTAGAGAATGGGCTTCCTTGGTGAATGCTCATGCAAGTGACTGGCTGAGATGTGGCTTTCTTGTTTGCAGTATTTTGGTAAGGGGAGTTGCTATGGTAAATGTGAGGAGGTGTGTTTGGAAGCGTCGGGAGCATATCTCTCGTGTAGAACACTGGAATTAGACCTGAAGAGGGATAGAAAGATATGATAATTACAAATTATATAATGAGGGGTGAACATTTAAGTCATTTAAGGTACTGTAAATGATCTGTTGCAATAGATGTTTGCATTTCTTTAGATTTCTTATATATATATATTTATTTGTCTTGTTGAACAGGAAGATATAATCTTGGTATTTTTTCCTGGTAGGTAATGGTTCTGGCTTCCTGAAGATTATGGAACGGTTGATGCGTGGCGTCTGGACACCCGCGGCAGTCGAAGTTATGCAGCCTACCTTGTGAGTCCTACACTTGATTGTTATATTTTAATACGTCCGGTACATACATATGGCACACACACACATGCAGGAACATTCACACACACGCACTCAAATGTAGCATGAAAGACCAAATATTCTCATTTTTTATTGCAACATTTTTTAGTTAAATAACTTTTACAGCTCAATTACTTACTAGATTATATTACAGAAGTTACTGTTATTTTTATACGGTATTTGGTTCTATCCATTGATGTAAGCTCGACCGAATAATTGGGTTAGGTGTTGGTGGCTAGATACTGGCAACTTTACCCTACTCTCTTTTGCATTCCTTTTATTCTTAACTCGCGTAGCACATTGGTATCTGACTTGAAACATGTATGGATTTCTCCTAATGTTGTCTATCGAGTTGCATTGCCTTTGAAACAGATACCTGATGAAAACTCTGATATTAAATTTAATGTTGACTGGTCTAGGTATATTGATAATATCTCAACGGTGCTCTTATCGAGTTTGCCGCTTATTAGTGGCAGCATATGGGCTTGATATACTGTAGTAAAATATCTTTTAATCACTTATTGCCAAGTTTGTAATTGTGTAGATTTTTGTAAACTTTTTTATGTTTACATTTTGTTTTTTTTTCCACAGCCCCACCAAGGCATCCATTGCTGCTGCTCTCATCTTTGTTGTGGACAAGAAAACCGATCTCATCTCTGCTCCCCATGCTCTTGTCTATTTTGGCATTTGTATCTTCTTTGTCTACTTCAAGGTACTGTTTACTACTTACGACTAGGTATCCCAGTATGTATACTTATGGTTTTTTATCATGGCTATTTTTTTTGGCATTCATTAATTTCTTACTGCAATCCTTTTTTGTGTGAAGATCTTAAAAATGCCTTATTGTATTCATTTCAAACTTTAAATATTTCATTTTTGACTTGAAAACTGATTAATATTAAAATTGGTCATTGTAGTCAAGTAGCAAGAAAACAGTTTTCTTGGCAGTGTAATCAGATTGAGACTATTTAGAATTGGGTTTATGTCTTGCACAATGCTTCCACGCTGTACCAATGAGCGTATTGACTTGAAACTTACAGCACCTCTGTATGACTGCACAAAAGCTAGTGCATAAGATGAAGGGTGCAAGGTGGGATAACTTGGAAGGGACTAAACTGGGGACAGGAGTACCTAGTGAACAGAAAATACCGGGTCTCAGACAGAGAAGATATATCGAACAGGAGAGATGTAATATAGGTACGGAGGGAACTATCAGGGGGAAAGCGCGAAGCCATTACGACTATATGTAGCACTTGAAAGGAGGTGAGGATAAGGATTTAGGATGGGACGGGGGAAAGGAATGGTGACCAACCAATTGGATGGTCGGGGATTGAACACCGACCTGTATGAAGCGAGACCGTAACTCTACCGTCCAGCCCAGGTGGCTAGGTGTGTAGAGCGGGAGTGTGTGTGTGTGTGTGTGTGTGTGTTAGTTTTCTGTCATTTTAGTCTTTCAGACACTTAGGGTCTCAAGTAATCCAAACAATTAAAGGCAATATTATTTTCCAACTCAAATGAGCATTAATAGAAGTTGCTTAAGTTATTAAGATTTTCTAGAAATCAATATGTAAATGGTCAGGTAGCTCATGTACAGTGTAAGAAGTGGTCAAGAATAAAGTACAGTGTTTCACCATAAAGGTGGTGGTGGGACCATTATGTGCAATAGAACCATGCTCTCTTATTGCTACAAACACACACAAAAAATCACCTGAAAGAGATGATGTGGCTTCAATAATCAAGGATACTTTCAATAATAATGTAATTGTGACATGTTACATCAGGCATGAAAGAACATAAATATTCTGATATGTTTAATAATAATTATTTCAATAATAGTATCCATAATATGATGTATTAAATTTTGTATAATTAACAATCGCGTATGACAAGTATATTTCAGCGTTACTTGATGCAGCCCCATATTATCTGCAGCCGCCTCAATATCCTTCTGTATATTATCCTTTGTTTTTCTGAGCAAGTGTTGCTGTACTTTACATTATAATGCAGGGACTGTCTTGCATCGATGTGTTTTCATGTCGACTGTGCAAACACAGAGATACACAAGAGGGAGCGGGTGCATATGGCATTGTGCTTCTTATCTTAAACTTAGGTAAGTAAAAACACACTAGCACTCCTTCTCACTTTCTAATACTCTTCTTCTGTTTTTCCTCTTTTTTTTTTTATTCTACTTTCATTGGTATTTTGTTAACAGCTGTCGTCCCTTCTGCTTGGAATCCACGACCCATTTGTGCCATTCGAGAACCTGTTCTGTGCCATATTTTTGGGCGGCATCTGGGATTCACTGGCCCATACTCTTGCTGGTAGGAAGGGAGCTGCTGCGGAGAAAGGCACAGAGGCTGTTAAAAATGGTAATGGTAAAAAGAAAAATGATTAAAGCAGCAGTGTGTGGCTTGTGAGTGTTACCACTAACAGAGAGACAATTAACCTGTTGTAAGTACACCTGTGTTTTAGTTCCTTATTAATATAATGCTCTTTTTTCCATATAATTTCCACTAGGATTTGTTAACAGAATAGTAAACGTGTTTATTTAGATTATAAATCATGGTGATAAATCAACATTGATGGCAAACATTTAAAGGTTTTAAAGCAGTGATTGCATATATACGTAAATACATTATCATTACCACTGTTTTCCGCTCTCATGGGGTGGGATGGCATCAGACTGAAGAAAAGTGAGAGTAATCTGTGTAGTGAAAGAAGGTTAGAGACATTAAAAAATAATTGAATTTAAATATCACTCGTCCATTCATTTTATCATTCGCGATACAACACAGTATCCAAAGAGCTGAAGCTCAACCCCCGCAAGCACAACTAGGCGAGTACAGTTGACTGATTATCCTGACTAACTGCTACCTCTTAGTGACTAAAGCACTGAAATCTGTGACTTAAAAAAGACCATGTAATGAAATTGGGACTAGTAAGACGAACTGTGAGGAAGCTTCAGGTACTCGCCTAGTTGCATAACAGATACTCGCAGATACTCACCACGGTATCTGCATAAGAATGTTTATATTTCTTTTTCAATTCTGGTGATAATAAGTACTGTACAGTATTCTATTTCTGAAATCTTTTGCATTATTTCTTGCGAGATAGCATGTATGGGCACAATGAAATCACAAGAATGTGAAATGTATATATGAGAAATAGTGAGGACTTAAATGGGATTGAACCCAGCATGAACAGGTTAATTTAGCCAAGAAAATTATGATAACATTACCTAGCAGAAGATATTTTGCAGTCGTCGGACAACACAATCGCGCACATGTTAATTTATAATGCAAATTTACTGTTATTTATTGCTGTTTACATTAGAAAACTGTGTATTATTTATTTATCTTTATTTAGGATAAAATATTATGGATGGATTAATTAGGGTCAAGTTGCCAATTTCTGGACACGCAACACTTTCCTCTAAATGGATTAAAAATCTGCATATTAGGAATATTTGCAGTATGATTTAAAATGAGACATTGTTTTATAAAGTAACACTAGAAGAGATGCTGTATATACACTTCTTGTTGAAATTTTACCCAATAATGGTGATGTCGAGAATTGTCACAAAACAAACTTTGAACACTGGCTTTTGTCTCCAGCGGGAAAGACATCACCAACTTTTAAGTGAATGTTGGCAGTATAAGACTGTACAATATTTTATGGTGCATATTAATATTATTTTCATTTCTATACCATTAGACAGCATTCTTTAAATGACAAGCCATAATTTCTGAATGTTCAACCCGGTGGGTGTCCAGAGACTAGCAATGTGGAGGGTATCGGAGATAGATGCCAGGTATCCCAATATGCTGCAGCTTCTTTAATAACAAGATCTGATATTACAGGACATGGTAGCAGGGCATGTTGGTATACATTATTTGTGTTTTCATATTATTTGTGACACTTTTAGCTTCTGATGCGTCTCATAGACTGAGCACCCATGATCAGAGACTTTTCGTGACCTAAAGATTTCCACCAATAATTACAACTGAGCTGTGTCGTGTAAGGCCCTTTCCTGATCTCGCTTCCAATCTTCCTCCACACACCTCCATTCCACATGGTACACAATCTTTCTGTAGGAAGTATCTTCCGTAATTTCCCTTGCTTCCATCTTTGCTGTGCTATACCCCTCTATATACCCCTTGTGTTTGTTCTGCATTCAGTAGCCATATTCCCTTAACACACACATTCCACTTTCCACTTTCCAGTGGCATTCTGGTCCACTACTTAAATTTTAACAGTCTTCTCTTGAAATATTAAATATTTTTGACCTAGTATTCACCTGTACTTTCTTACCTTTAATATGTTTGACTATACTTATTGTTTCAAGTTCTGTGTGATAGTTGGTATTAAATAAGTGCATGAAAATTTAACATGATTAAGCATGAGAAATTACCCATTAATTTCTCAGTTTTTCCTTGACTATTTTCCAGTATTTTTGTATTAATTTGTATTTTTGTATTTTTGTATTAAGACAAAATTATGCCTGAAAAAAATATTGTGAACTATTTTGACTCTGTTGCTCAAAGTGCTTTTAAATATGTTGTTTTATTAAACAATAATATGTAAAGAACATTGAATAACCTTTGGGTTCCAGTGTTCGTCCTTTTGCCAAAATTTTTATCATATATTAAATGCTTGCAAAAATTTTTTTGAATTTATGTTATTGTTGAAGACTAAATATTTTGGAATTACAGAAAGTAATATGGAAAAAATGTAATTATGAACATTGGCCAGCGTTTTTTCGGGGCTGGCCTCCTCTCGGTAGCTCTTCATGTTTAAGGCGCTATCACTGTTAAGTCACTATGATTGTGCCAGGCTCCTACAACATTTTAGGGCCCATGGAGACAAGTACCTCTTCAAAATATGCCTTGTTCCTCTGCAAATGGGAGCTTGGAGTCTACTATATTTTTAGAGAAACTCACAACTGAGGGAAGCTGCCTGCTATATCGCACAGTAATTTATCAAAACTTTGATATTGAATTGAAAAACTACCAAAGAACCCACCCACTGGCAAGTACCCCAGCCAGAACTAGATGATCTGGTAGGAGGTGACCACACTTACTTTCATTGTTGAATGCATTCCAGGCATTTTTGTAGCAGTCTCAACCTTATTATGATAAGTAAACTTGGCAATCATTGTGACATCCCAGTCTCTTCATAGTCACATACTTTATAGCAATGGTTCCCAATCTTTATGGGAATGGCTCTATTTTCTAATACAGTACTCAAAAGACCCCAAGAAGGGTCACATCCCACTGGTTGGGGCCACTGCTTTATAGGATCTCTTCACTGTATGGTTCTGCTTATGTTTGCATGTTTCAGAATGGCCTTTCTCGTAGTTTCACCGAGACTATTTCCAGCGTTCCGAGTAATGTTTCGGGGTGTTGCCTTGTGCTTAAGGCTTCGTTGGAATTGTTTGTTTTCTCTAGGATGTGGCCTTTTGGATGTGTTTAGTTGAGCACACTGCGTTCTCCTGTGTTTTCCCACTGAACTTGACCTGGTGCCCATGGTGTTCTGGCTGCTAATTTTTTCTGCTGCTGGAAGTTTGGATGTGGAACTTGCTTGCTGTTGGGGTCACTTTCCAACATTCCTACTTGTGCTGACTCAGGCTTGTCAGTGGTTAAAGTAGTCTATGATCTCCAGACCATAGTATTGAGTTTAATGCAAGGTTATCAGAGGTTGCTTTGGTTGTTCAGTTGTTTTTGGCAATTCTGTGTTGACTGAGTTTACTCAGAGGGAGTTTTGTGTGTGTTGATGCATTCCTGTCTCATGTTGGGTGACTTCTCTGGGTTGTTGGTTGATCTTTGATCTCTACGTACTCGCCACCTACTTTTTGGGGAGAAACCATTCAGCGCTAGAGAAACCTGTGTGTTTGGTGTGAGTATTTGTTGCGGTGGTAAGAGAAGAGGTAGTGAAAATTGTCCTTTCAATAATTCAAATATGCATTGGCATTACTATCATTATAATTATAGTTTATGCAACTGTATAGTGTTTGGCTTTATATCACTTTCTCAATCCATTTTAAATACAGTAATTACAAAACTGATTTACTCATTACTGAATTCAATTTGCATTGGGTGAATCATTGAATAATTCATTTTTTTGTTGGTTTGCAGGATAAATTCTTCACGACTTCTAGTACTGTGATCAAGACATGCATTGGTATAGTTTGTTCTGGCTCAGGGTTTGACATCGGAGTGTGTAAATTGATGGTAACGTAATTGGGGAAAACCTATGCCACCTGTGCTAATGGCAGTGATTGTGCTTGTAGTAATGCACCTCTTGCTCAGATCTTCCCCTTTTGTACAGAAAGTTGGGTAAATTTTTATGTAATACGCTTTTTAGTTACAAAAGTGGGGATAAGTATCCAGAATATAGGTACACATCATATTTGAGGTATATACATGCTATTGGCATCAAAATAAATCCTGTCCATTTTGTATACTGTGTCGTTTTATGATCTAAATATTCACTGTTGTCTAGTACAGTGATGTAAAAAAAGGAAACCATACTTTTCAAGTAGCAGTAGCCAAAGGTTAATAAAAGAATTGTTATTATATGTTAGTAAACAATGTTCAGGAGGAAAAGGTTTACATGTGTATATCATTTTATATAACATTAAGGGAACTGCAGAGAAATACATTTTTCTGTTCAACATTAGCACCCGAGTGATGATGGTAAAATATATTTCATACAAATTTTTGTAATCCTTATCAAAACCATTTGCTTACAGTAACTAAAGCAAAAAAATCTTTGTACCAAAGTACTATAAACTTTATATATATATAGACTAGATAATATATTCTTGGTAATGAAGAATTAAAGATGTACAAAGAAATTTAAACTGAATATTAATTCACGGATTTTATAGACTTGATAAAAGCTTTTTTTTATTACATTTTAGTAATTCTTACATAAAAGTGACACAAAGGGTTGTGTTTGTGAAGTTGAAACAATTTACACTTTAGATTTTTTCTGGTATCTTAATTCCTGTTTTCAGTATCTAAAAAGTCTTCCTTCTAGATAGTCCATACTGTGACTATTTTAGCATCCAGTTTCAGTGCTCCCTCTAGTCATGTTTATATGTGCTGGTGAAGGATTATTGTTGCTGCTGCTGCTGCTCTTTGTTGGCCTGTAGTGTTAGTGAGATCATGTTCTTGCTGGCATACAGTGTTTGCAAGATCATGTTCCTATTGTAACACGTCGATGCAGCAGGTAGCTGTAACATTTAGCAGTCTTTTCTCACCACAAAATGTTTTTGGTTTGACATTACCCAGGTAAAGTTAGTTTTAACCTATGTCTCCAGTGTTAATTTCATTTTTTTGTAATAGCTGAGGTCATGCGACAGCCGGGCTGTTAAGACAAAACCAGTAAAATTGTGATACAGTTGCTCTGATAAACTGTTTTGTAAAGTAGCCAGCTGCTATATTAGATTAATATTAACCTGTGTAGCAGCCGGCTGCAGTATTAGATGTAACGTGTAATATAGCAGGTGGCGTGCTTAAATGCATACTGGAGGTTTTAACAAATTATCTCGCAGGGCATGTGGTTCTGTGAGAGAACCCGGCCATTTTTTGTAAGCATATGCTTGAGCAAGCACTTGTGGCTTTTTTTTTTTTTTTTTGAGTGGCTGACTGCTATATAGCCAATCTGATTTTGTAAAACTACATGTATCCAAAGACATCTTGAGAATTCTGTGTTCTCCAATTTTTAAATACTGTATGTGCAATAAGGATTCAAGGGACTAATGATAGTATTGCCGATATAGTCATTAAACTACAGGTACAAGTGTTCCTATAGTGTGAACTAGTATACAACAACTTCACACCACAAGGCCTGGTGGTATTTAAACTTCTGTTGTGGTGACTTAAGAGAAACTTAAAATAATAAATTTTTGCAGAAAATAAAAATGTAAGACCCTCTTTTAGTATTATTTAATAACTTATTCTCTTTGGAAGTTTCAGAGTTATCAAAATAACCATTGCTGAAAATGTAATGGTGTCGGAGAGAACTGGAAACGTATGGATCATCTGTATTAATTGCTACACTGTGAGCTGTGTTCTTCAGTAAACAATTATTTTTTGTTTTTAATTTGATATAAGTGCAAAATATAATTCTTCCCAAAGGATAAAGCTGCACCTTACAGTCAGAAATGTATTGTTCCCATTAACAGTTGTAGGGCACCATGTCCGATGTGCTGATTTTGTTGATCAGAAGTTCTGCTTCACCACTTTTCCTTTGAGTCTTGTGTGTCTAGGTAAAGTCTTCAGTGAATCTCGATTCTTTTGACATCATCAGTATGCTTTCATATTGACATCTGATTTCCAGGAACTCTTGAACATTCTATAACTGCTATTCTTCTTCTAGCCTTCTATTCTCTTCTTCTATTCTAGCCTTCTGGTCCTAGCACTTATAATAAATACTTTCTCAAGTGTAAGAAACCTTCCCTCTCCAAGTCTTTCTTAACCTTAACTTTTGTAACACTGTTTCTCTGTACAGTATTCTCAATCAAGTACATTCAAAACCTACTTCTGTGCTTGATCCTGTCTGCACGACTACTCGCTCACCCTGGCCCCTTACTAGACATCCCTCTTGCCAAAATTAGCCATGCTAATTAGGTAATCCAGAATTTACAGATCACTAATCTAGTTGTAACTATAGTAGTTTCTAGCGTCTTGTATGTCTGCTTGACTATTTTCTTAACATTTTTCCTGTTTTCCAAATGCTAATCATTAGATGGAATATACACAACTTTATATATTTTTTTTCATTTTCTCTCCTCTAGAATTGTCTTTTTCTAAATTTCTTCTCCAAATTTCCTTTTCTGTGGGGGGCCTTGTAGGCTCCAAGGAGCCTCTGGGGCTGACCCAGAAAATGGTGTTTCATTACATTCAATGCTAGTTTTTTAAATTTTTTCCTCTAGAAACCAATGTTTGGCTTTCATTCTGGACAATTATGTGGATACGCTTTAGTAGCATCATCTCAAACTTTTAAGTCTTTCTAGCACCACAAGTCAATTAATATGGGAGGATGTTGTATAATTTTCTTTACATTTTACTTTGACATACATTGCACTACCTAATGTAAATTCCTCCATAAACAGTATACTGTTTTTTTCTATCTGCTTGCTCTTGTATTGGCATCCTGAGTGATATTTAGGATTTTTTAAGTATCTCATGACACAGATGCTGCTAAATAATCGTATCAGATTGGCACTTTCTTTTGATAATAACTTATTAATTTCTTCTATTTTCTGTCACATATTGTATCCTGATTCCTCAAGTTGATTTTAAGCTTCTTTCAGATCTCTTGCTTGCACCATTAAGCTGTATTGCTAAACAGGCTCAGAACGTTTTGATAAATAATTGCTTACTGCATCTCTCCTCTCTTTCTCAAGCTTGCTATCTCTCTCTCATTATTTTATCCTGACATGAAAAGTAATAAGGATAAGTGAAGGGGAGAGAAGATTCTAGGAACAGTACAGGCTGAAAGGGTTATCTTGAGATGATTTCGGGGCTTTTAGTGTCCCCGCGGCCCGGTCCTCGACCAGGCCTCCACCCCCAGGAAGCAGCCCGTGACAGCTCACTAACACCCAGGTACCTATTTTACTGCTAGGTAACAGGGGGCATAGGGTGAAAGAAACTGCCCATTGTTTCTCGCCGGCGCCTAGGATCGAACCTGGGACCACAGGATCACAAGTCCAGTGTGCTGTCCGCTCGGCCGACTGGCTCCCGGGAGGGAGGCAGTTCCCAGAAACAGAAGGATCGACGAATACTCGATACATATATACTGCTAAACCTAGTACAGTACGGTACTTGAGAAATACAGTAAACAAGATAATGTGTGTGTCATATGTCAAATTGGCAATATCAGGGTAACATTTAAGACTCTAGACAGTCTCAGAAGACCATATACAATCCAATACTAAATACAAGCCTTTATTGTGCAATTCTGGCATACAGTCTGCTTCTAAAAGAGCGTAGAGTTAAACTAGAAAAAACAGGAGAACAAAACTTGGGACATCTGGCATGACACGGAGAAATGCTTGCCAGTTTGTGGAAGGGCTAATTAGGAGAGAGTGAGGGAATAATGTTGAAGTTAGCACAGAAAGTGTAATTGAAAGGATGGACAAAGGGACAATATTTGAAAAGAGAAATGGAAGATCCAGAAGATACTAGTGAAAGTTTGAGACACACATTAGTGTAAATTCTTACACTGAATTTATTCAGTGTAAGAGTCACAAGCAAATGGATTGGACAATGAGATGCGATCATTGGAGATGTATTTGATACACAGATACACAAGGAAATATGATTAAATATTAAAATAAAAATAAAATTTACTAACTGATCAAAAGATGGACAGGTGGGGTTAGAGAGCTATAGCTCAACCCTGTAAACATATCTAGGTGAATATATAGATAAGCATATTCAGAACAGCTATGAGATAAGAAAAACTAATACATGTGCGTAAATTATGAGAGGAATACTGTAATCTAGAGTGAATTTGAGATTGACCGCCACCAAAGCAAAGACCAACCTAAGCTAGTGGAAACAGGTAATCAAATTAAAAAAAAAGAGAGGGGATGAATGACAGAAAATAACATGAAGTACAAAATTAGAGGTTCTGTAAGGTTTTCAGCATGAAAGCTAGAGATCTAGTAGTGCAGGAATCACTTGGAAAATTGAGTGAAATAGCGGTATTACTTAACCTATTATAGGTATAGGTTAAGTAATAATTGTAATTACGAAGCAATAAGATGCTTATCTTAACATACTAAGAAGGTTAGGTAAGGTCGTTGTTTTCTATGAAGCTTTTCAAGGTAAACTAGTATGTTTAGTATGTCACATATGCACGTATTTAATAAGTCAACATTGACTGTAAGAAAGTGCGAGAACGGGTTGCCTTGGAAGAGGTAATACCCAACCACTTGGACTGGTCGGTACAGCAACAGCCTCACTTCTTGCAGGTTGGTGCTGAATTCCTGATGGTCCAAATAGTTGGGTTCCATTCCTTCCTCTGTCCTATCCTACATTCTTGTTCTTTATCCAAGTTCTTTATAGTTATACTGGCATAGTACTTTCTCCACATTAATTACCTTGGAGGAGGTAAGGAAGTGAACTGGAGGAACTTTCTTGGTCAAAAGCCTAGAAGTGCTCACTCTTATTGCAGTTAATAACTTATCATTGCAAACTGGAAAACTAATAGAGGTGTGGAAATGGTCCCATCAGGGCAGCCTGCCCTGATGGGAGAGAGAGAGACACACACACAGACACTCACACACACTCACACTCTCTCACACATATATATACTATACATATTTGGATACTAAAGGAAGGAGCAGAAGCACTGTGCCTGCCACTCTCCATAGTGTATAACAAATCACTGGCAACAGGGGAACTGCCAGAAATTTGGATAGCGGCTAATGTAGTTCCGATATACAAGAAAGGGGATAGACAGGAGGCACTGACCTACAGGCAAGTGTCCCTAACCTGCATACCATGCAAGCTGATGGAGAAGGTTGTGTGAAGAAAGCTAGTGGAACATCTGGAGCAAAAGAACTTCGTAACACAGCATCAACATGGGGTTCAGGGATAGTAAGTCCTGCCTCACAGGGCTAATTGAATTCTACGATCAGGCAAGAAAGAGAGGGGTGGGCAGACTGCATATTTTTGGATTGCCAGAAAGCGTTTGATACAGTACCACACAAGAGACTAGTGAAAAAACTGGAGATGTAGGCTGGAATGAAAGGGAAGGTACTCCGTTGGCTAAGGGAGTACCTAAGTAACAGAAGACAACGAGTCACTGTGAGGGGTGAGGTCTCGGATTGGCGTGACGTCACGAGTGGAGTACCGCAGGGGTCAGTCCTTGGACCTATACTGTTTTTGATATATGTAAATGATCTCCCAGAGGATATAGACTCGATTCTCTCAATGTTTGCTGATGATGCAAAAATTACGAGGAGGATTGAAACAGAGGATGATAGTAGGAGGCTACAGGACGACCTAGACAGACTGAATGAATGGTCCAACAAATGGCTGCTAAAGTTTAACCCGAGTAAATGCAAAGTAATTAAACTAAGCGGTGGAAACCGGAGGCCAGATACAGGATACAGAATAGGAGATGAAGTACTTAATGAAACGGAAAGTGAGAAAGATCTAGGAATTGATATCATACCAAACCTGTCTCCTGAAGCCCACATAAAAAGAATTACGTCTGCGGCATATGCGAGGCTGGCTGACATCAAAACAGCCTTCAGGAACCTGTGTAAGGAATCATTCAGAATCTTGTATACCACATATGTAAGACCAATCCTGGAGTATCCGGTCCTAGCATGGAGCCCGTACCTTGTCAAGCACAAGACGAAACTGGAAAAAGTTCAGAGGTATGCCACTTGACTAGTCCCAGAACTATGAGGCATGACTTACGAGGAAAGGCTGCGGGAAATGTACCTTACGACACTGGAAGACAGAAGAGTGAGGGGAGACATGATCACTACCTACAAAATCCTCAGGGAAATTGAGAGGGGTAGACAAGGATAAACTATTCAACACTGGTAGTACGTGAACAAGGGGACACAGGTGGAAACTGAGTACCCAAATGAGCCACACGGACGTTAGAAAGAACTTTTTTAGTGTCAGAGTAGTTCACAGATGGAATGCATTAGGCAGCGATGTGGTGGAGGCTGACTCCATACACAGTTTCAAATGTAGATATGATAGAGCCCAGTAGGCTCAGGAATCTGTACACCAGTTGATTGACGGTTGAGAGGCGGGACCAAAGAGCCAAAGCTCAACCCCCGCAAGCACAAATAGGTGAGCACACACACACACGCACACACACACACACACACACACACACACACACACACACACACACACACACACACACACACACACACACACACACACACACACACAC